CCTCTTTTTAAAGTAAGTCTATACGTTTAGCGGCGGCTTTACGGCTAGGCGGCTTCGGGTCGATATTGTAACTCTACTAAAACTCTATCGACTAAAGTCTTAATTAATACTAAAAATAAATAGATATAACTTAGTATTATATTAAATATATACTATACCTACCTAGAAACTAACTTATAGTTACGTGCGACTTATTTATATTAAGTTATTATATATTTACAATATTACTTATAAATAGTTTAGGTCTATATACGTAATCTGTATACTACTATAGTATGAAAACTATACTATTACCTTCGATAATAACTTATAACTCCGTCGATCGAAGTTTGTTATCTTTTAATATAGATATCTATTTAGTATCGGATTAATATTATATCGCTCTATTATTATATACGAGTAGAGGTACTTAAGATAGAATACCTTCTCGATATAGCTACTAACTACCGCTAAATAATTTAGGTCTATATAGATAATATAAGTAGTATACTACTATAGTATAAAAACTATACTATTATCTTCGACAATAACTTATAACTCTATTAATTGTAATTTATTATTTTGTAATATAAATATCGATATACTATAGAATCGACTTCGGATCGCTCTATTATTATACGCGAGCCTTTCTTATTAAGATTTATATTATGTAAATTTTACCCCTAATTAATTTAGGCCTATATATGTGATTTACTACCGCCCCTCTTCTCTTTTACCCTCTCTTTAGGTAATATAATTACGGTTTATATTATAATAATTACGTATTCTTAGCTTTTAACTACCCTTAAACTTCGTTATAGTACCTAAAAAGAAACTAGTTAGTCGACTAAGACTTAATAGTATAGAAAGAAGGCGTAGAAAGGCTACTACCGCCTAAGAAAGACGTCGAAGATTAGGTTTTCTAAATATTAAAATTCGAAGTAACCCTCTAATTTACTCTTCTACTACTACTTAGATTTAAGATATTCCCGCGCTAATAGAACTATCGACTTAACCTTAGACAACTACTTAAGTTATACGGTTAAGTAGTCGAGTAAGTCAAAATAACGATTTAGAGCCCCCTTTAAACTTAACCGACTAACTATTAATCTAACCTCGATATTATACTCGATCGACGTCGAAAAGCCCTTAACTCCCTACTATCCTAGCTTTGTTAATACGTCTATCGCCTATATATAAACCCTCCTATTTAACTAGGTTACCTATAT